CTGCTGAAGGTGGATGGTTAGATTCGTCTAAGGCTGTGAACAGGGAGACATAGGGTCCTAAGGGATCTGGGGAGGCAGGGTGAGGGTGTAGGGTGGTAATCATTTATTGCTGGAGAAGGGGCATGATGGGTGGGGGGAGGGCGGACATCACAGAGTACAGTTGGGGGAAGGCAAGGAAGCCTCTGCCCCTGCCCCAACCATTTCATGTTCAGGCCTCTCACAACAAGACCAGGCACGTTCATTAGGTCTCCAGGAAATTCCTGAGCCAACTCCAAGCCTCACCCTGGGCCAGGTCCTAGGGGCTAGGAAGCAAGGTTCCCAGATACACACAGGTAAGGAACGTTGCCTACCCACAAGGAGCTTGTAGCCTGGGAGCAGGTGAGGATGTGTAAGCAAGAGTGCCTCCTAGAGGCCAGGAGCTGTGCTGCTCCCTGGGGACAAATGTGGGTGATGCTGTTCCTGCTCTCAAGGAACTCACAGTCCAGTGGCAGAGACAGCCATGGTCTCGAAGGATACATTGTATTTCCATAAGGCAGCAATTGTGTTAGGGGACTGAGGGGAGGGCATGGCCTTCAGGCACAGGGAACAACTAGAGCACAAATTAAAAGATAAATCAGGACATGGTGTAAAGCAGAGCCAACCGTTAGGAAGCCCATGGCTTTTTCAAGGAAGGGCAGAAAGTGCAGCAGCTTGACTTCCTTGAAGGGCAGAAGGCTGAGAGAAGGTAAGTTGGGATCAGATCTTGCAGTTGCTTCTACTTTATTCCACAAGCAAGGGGAGTATCATTCTACAAACATGGACTGAGCACCTACTATATACCAGACATGCACAAAGCATCTGGGCATAGGCGACGAGCACATTGCCCTTGCTCTCATGAAGCTTGAAGTTTAGCAAGGAGATCAACAACAGTCAAATAATCATGCAGATCACTAAAACCATAAATCATGAGAAGTGACAGGAAGAAAAGGTATAGGTGCTATGAAAGAGTGCAATGGGGAATTTAATTTCTTTTTAAAAAAATTTTACTGAAATATAGTCGATTTACAATGTGTTAATTTCAGTTGTACAGCAAAGTGATTCAGTTACATATGTAACTTTTTCAGATTCTTTTCCCCTATAGGTTATTACAAGATACTGAGTATAGTTCCCTGTGCTATACAGTAGGTCCTTGTTGGTTACCCATTTTATACATAGTACTGTGTATATGTTAATCCCAAACTCCTTATTTATCCCTCCCACTCCTTTCCCCTTTGTTAACCTTAAGTTTGTTTTCTATGTCTGTGGGTCTGTTTCTGTTTTGTATATACATTCATTTGTATCATATTTTTTTAGATTCTACATATAAACGATATCATACGATATTTGTCTTTCCTTGTCTGACTTACTTCACTTAGTATAATAATCTCTAGATCCATCCATGTTGCTGCAAATGGGAGACTTAATTTCAATTGCAGTATCCAAGAGGGCTTCTGAAGATTTTGAATAAAGGAGTGTTGTGGTCAGAGCTTGCATGAGGAAAATGAATCAGGCTACAGTGTGCATGAAAGATTGGAATTATGGTGATGCTAGAAAGCTGTTACAATGGTCCAGGCAAAAAATAACAAAGACAGGAAATTAGTCTATGATGAAAAAGTAGCATTTCAATGGGAAGTTGTTGTTCAATGACTAGAGAGCTTCACTTTTGATTTTTTTTTTTTTTTTGGCTGTGTTGGGTCTTCATTGCTGTGCAAGGGCTTTCTCTAGTTGTGGCGAGCAGGGGCTACTCTTCATTGCAGCACATGGGCTTTTCATTGCAGTGGATTCTCTCATTGCGGAGCACGGGATCTAGGCGCACGGGCTCAGTTGCTCCGTGCCATGTGGGACCTTCCCGGGCCAGGGCTCAAACCTGTGTCCCCTGCATTGGCAGGTGGATTCTTAACCACTGCACCATCAGGGAAGCCCCTAGAGGTTCACTTTTGTAAGATAAAAAAGTTCTAGAATTCTGTTGCACAACAATGTGATAACACTACTGAACTACACACTTAAAAGTGGTTAAGATGGGAATTCCCTGGCGGTCCAGTGGTTGAGACTTGGCACTTTCATTGCCATGGGCCCGGGTTTGATCCCCAGTCGGGGAACTAAGATCCTGCAAGCTGCGCAGTGCAGCCAAAAAAAAAAAAAGGTTAAGATGGTCAATCCTTTATGTGTTTTTTTACCAGTTTTTAAGTTAGCATTTCAAAGTAGAGAGGAAATGAGGAACTATTCAATAAATGCTTTGGGACAACTGGATACACTAGCTCATACTTGACACCAAAATTATTTCCAGATGGACCAAAGATTTAAAAATAAAAAATGAGGGACTTCCCTGGTGGTCCAGTGGCTACGACTCCACGCTCCCAATGCAGGGGGCCCAGGCTCAATCCCTGGTCAGGGAACTAGATCTCACATGCCACAGCTAAGAGTTTACATGCCAGCCACTAAAGATCCTGCATGCCACAACTAAAGATTCCAGTTGCTGCAACTAAGAAAATGATCTTGCATGCCACAAGGAAGACTCCACACACGACAATGAAGATCCCGTGTGCTGCAACTAAGACCCGGCATGGCCAAATAAATAAATATATTTTTTTAAAAAAATGAAACCATAAAAGTACTAGAAGAAAATATGAGGGGATTTTAAAAGAAAATCTTGATATGAGGAGATCTTTCCAAGAATGACACAAAACCCTACATCGAAAAAAAAAGTTTATGGCAAAAAAAAAAAGAAACAAAAAAAAGTTAAAATCAAAAGATAAGTGATAGGCTTGAGAAAACATATGCAACTCATAATGAATATGAAAACAACTCTTACAAATCAAGACGGCAAAGACCTTCAACCCAATATAAAAATGAGCAAATAATAGCAAATAATATCAAAGTGAAATACAGAAAAAGAAATTAAAATGACTTTAAAACTTATCAAAAGATGCTCAAATTCACTCATACTAAAAGAAATGTGTTGAGAGTCCGCCTGCCGATGCAGGGGACGCTGGTTCGCGCCCCGGTCT